CTGGATATTAGGAAAAACTTTTTCACGGTCAGAGTGGTTCAAAGGTGGAATCAGCTGCCTAGAGAGGTGGTGAGCTCCCCTTCGCTGGCAGCTTTCAAGAAGAGGCTGGACTAATATTTGTCAGAGATGCTTTAGGCTGGTCCTGCATCGGGCAGGGGGTTGGGCTAGATGGTCTGTATGGCCCCTTCCAACTCTATGATTCTGTGACTCAGATTTGGCTGGTCATTCTCAAAGTAGCAGGTTGATGCTAGCCCACATACTTTGGTCATTGCGAGGGGCCGTGGCTCAGTGGCAGAGCATCTGCTTGGCATGCAGAAGGTCCCAGGTTCAATCCCTCGCATCTCTAGTTAAAAGATCTGGCGGTAGGTGATGTGAAAGACCTCTTCCTGCCCCCCTCCTTTAAAGGGATTAAGGGTATTCCTCTGCACTGAGACCACAGGGCACAGGAACAACATCTATGATAGGGGGAAGAGGATGAAAGAGATGGGTTTTGTACACCTGGAGTGCAGGTACACATACAATTCTCTGCTGTTCCTTGTGACCACTAGATGGCGCTCTTATCAGCAGAATTAACCCTCCGTCGATACAGGAACGAAACACATGCAGAAGGCAACTGCAAAATACTGTGGAACTAGGGATGGATTCGCCTTCATCAATTCTCCAGGGCTATTTTTGGGCAGGAACGCACAGGAATGGAGTTCCGGCTGGCTCCCAAGTTGGCCACGCCCAGCAGGGACTCATTAGCATTAGGCCACACCCAACAGCAGAAACTGATTAGGATTGGCTACATTAGGGGTGTGTGGCCTAACATGCAAAGGAGTTCCTGCTACAAAAAAAGGCCCTGGGTTTTGACAACAAACAAGGTAAACAGAATAAGAAGCAAAAGGTGGGTGTGGCTGGATAACCACACTTCTGGTAACATGGGGGTGCGGCCTCATGTGCTAATGAGCTGTGCTGGCAGGGGCGTGGCCTAATAGGCTAATGAGTTTCTGGTGTTGGGTGTGGCCTATCATGCTAATGAGTTCCTGCTGGGCTTTTTCTACAAAAAGAGCCCTGAGGGGAGGTATGTGTGAATTTCCTGCCTTGTGCAGAGGGTTGGACTAGATGACCCTGGAGGCCCCTTGCAACTCTATGAGTCTATGATTCTCCAGGGGACTGTAGTCTGGACAGGCCGGGCTAGCCCAATCTCATCAGGTGTCAGAAGCTAAGCAGGGTCAGCCCTGGTTAGTCCTTGGGTGGGGAGGCCACCAAGGAAGGGCAGGGTCGCCACGCAGAGGCAGGCAGTGGCCAACCACTTCTGAACACCTCTTGCCTCGAAAACCCCAGGGCTCACCGTAAGTCGGCTGTGACTTTAAGGCAAAAAAAAGAGAAAAGCCCAGAGATCAGTTGTAATCAATGCTCCTGCTCAGGGGTCATTTGCTGCAGGAGCGCACAGGAGCGGAGCTCCGGCAGTAAAGAGCCCAGGGGGCGGGCCCCCCGGCCCCCCGGTCCAAAACAGTCCAGTGGCACCTTTAAGACCAAGTTTTATTCAGGTACAAGCTCTCCCTCCTCTGCGAGGACAGATCTGCACAGTCCCGCCTCCCCCCCAATAGCTAGCAATCCAAAACAGTCCAGTGGAGCCTGAGCAGTGGGTGTTGCCTTCTGACACACTTCCAGTGATGTCAGGGGGTGTGGCATATGCAAATGAGTTATGCTAATGAGCTCCTGCACCTCTTTTTCTACTAAATGACCCCTGCTCCCGCTAAGCTATGGAGTCCTGTGAGCAAAAATTCTACTTTGTGAGCTCCTGGCATTAGAGTTGTGAGCGAGCGATTTGGCTGCTGCATCGATCAGCTTGCTCTGGAGCCAGTTTGGTGTAGTGGTGCACAGACTCTAATCTGGGAGAACTGGGTTTGATTCCCCACTCCTCCGCTTGCACCTGGCTGGATGACCTTGGACCACACTGTCTAGAGCTAACTATATACAGTTTATTTACAATATTCATATTTATAGTGAGAGCCAGTTTGGTGTGGTGGTTAAGTGTGCGGACTCTAATCTGGGGAGAAGTGGGTTTGATTCCCCACTCCTCCACTTGCACCTGCTGGATGACCTTGGGCAAGCCATAGTTCTGATAAGAGCTGTCTTTGAAAAAGAGCAGTTTCTGTCAGAGCTCTCTCAGCCCCACCTACCTCACAGGGTGTCTGTTGCGGGGAGGGGAAGGGAAAGGAGTTTGTCAGCCGCTCTGAGACTCCTTCAGGTAGTGAAGGGCGGGGTATAAATCCAGTCTCTTCTTCTCTTCCTTCCTGAGCGTAGGCAAAAGTGTGTGAGCCGGAGGCTAAGGAACTGTGAGCTGGCTCACACTCACTCAGCTGAGAGGGAATGCTGGTTGTGATTCCAAGAGATCTCCAGCCCCCACCTGGAGACTGGCAACCCCAGCGACCACAGACCCCCCCCATGTGCCACCCGAGGGCCTCCAGGCCCCACACGTCTTCGATGCCACCCTGACGGCTGGTCGATGTGCAAGGCATCACGTCCTGTGGGAGGGCCCAGGGGGCTGTCCGCAGTGCTGTCCGTGTGCACCCGGCGGCCAGAGGTGGTTGACCCCTGGTTCTCTCCACCCACCCGCTTCTGGCCTGATGTCAACTCCAGCCCGGCTTCCTCTCCCGGTCCCCGAGCCATTCGCAGGAGGCGGCTGGGACAGGCGGACCTCTTTTGACTCCCAAGGTGGGTGCTTCGCTTCGCTTTGGCTCGGAAGGGAGGCAGAGAAGGAAGCCTTTGAAGGGGCCATTGCTGGACAGACCGAAGGAGAGCGAGGTGGACGGAAGCTTTTGTTTGCTCGGCCTGGCCGGCAGCCAGTGGCCAAAAGGGGAGGGGTCCTGCCGGGAAACGGGAGGTGCGCTTAGGAACAGGGGGCAGAGGCCGGCCGAGAGGGAGCCGCAGATGGTCACGGGCTGCAGGGGTAGCCGACCTCCAGGCAGGCCCTGGAGATCTCCAGGAATCACAACAAAAATGAACTCCTCTGGAGAAACTAGATTCAGGTGGGGGCAGCCGTGTTAGTTTGAAGCAGCAGAACAAAGTCGGAGTCCGGCGGCACCTTTAAGACCAGCAAAGTTTTATTCAAGGTATACACTTTCGTGTGCACGCACGCTTCTTCAGATAGCTGAAGAAGTGTGCTTGCACATGAACGCTTATAGCGCGGATAAAACATTGTCGGTTTCAAAGGGGCGGCTGGACTCGGACTTTATTCTGGAGGAAATCGTTAGATACCAGTCCAGTAGCACCTTAGAGATCAACCAGAGTTTCAGGGTATAAGCTTTTGAGATCGAAAGCTCCATTCGTCAGAAACAAGTAGAAATGGAGATCCCTGAGCCCTTATATCCCAGGCAGAAGGCAGGAGGGATGTTGCAAAGAAGGGAGTCAGGATGCAAAGGTACGATGCAGAATGGAATTCTGCGAGCTGAGTACAGAGCAGAATGGAATTCTGCGAGCTGATTACAGAGCAGAATGGAATTCTGTGTGCTGAGCACAGAGCAGAATGGAATTCTGCGAGCTGATTACAGAGCAGAATGGAATTCTGCGTGCTGAGCACAGAGCAGAATGGAATTCTGCGAGCTGATTACAGAGCAGAATGGAATTCTGCGCGCTGAGCACAGAGCAGAATGGAATTCTGCGAGCTGATTACAGAGCAGAATGGAATTCTGCGAGCTGAGCACAGAGCACAATGGAATTCTGCGAGCTGAGTACAGAGCAGAATGGAATTCTGCGAGCTGAGCACAGAGCAGAATGGAATTCTGCGAGCTGAGTACAGAGCAGAATGGAATTCTGCGAGCTGAGCACAGAGCAGAATGGAATTCTGCAAGCTGCTTGAATTCCGCATTGGATCTTTGGATTCTGACTCCCCTCTTTGCAGTACCCCTCCCACCTTCTGACTGGGATATAAAATGCGATTTGGGGCTGTATCCACAGAAGTTCAGTGTCCAGATCACGTGAAGTGATGGTACTATTTTACTCAGCTCTGGTTAGACCTCACCTAGAGTGTTGTGTTCAGTTTTGGGCACCACAATCTAAGAAGGATGTAGACAAGCTGGAACGTGTCCAGAGGAGGGCAATGAAGGTGGTGAGGGGTCTGGAGACCAAGTCCTATGAGGAATGGTTGAAGGAGCTGCGTATGTTTAGCCCGGAGAGGAGACGACTGAGAGGGGATATGATAAGCATCTTCAAGCACTTGAAGGACTGTCATATAGAGGATGGAGTGGAGTTGTTTTCTGTTGCCCCAGAAGGTCAGACCAGAACCAATGGGTTGATATTAAATCCGAAGAGTTTTCGGCTGAACATTCGGGAGAACTTCCTGACAGAGCGGTTCCTCAGTGGAACAGGCTTCCTCGGGAGGTGGTGGGCTCTCCTCCTTTGGAGGTTTTCAAACAGAGGCTGGATGGCCATCTGACAGCAATGCGGATCGTGCGAACTTGAGCAGATCATGAAAGCGGGAGGGCAGGAAGGGTTGCCTCAGTGCTTAGTTCTCGTGGCCCTTTCTTACATGCCCAGGGAAAAGCTGATCACCACATTAGAGTCAGGAGGTAATTTTTCTCCGGGCCAGTTTGGTTTTTTGTCATCTTCGGGGTGTTTTGGGTCATCTTCTGGGCGTGGTACTTTTCAGGTGTGGAGGGGGAGGTAGTTGTGAATATCCTGCATTGTGCAGGGGGTTGGACTAGATGACCCTGGAGGTCCCTTCCAGCTCGATGATAGTATGACTCAGATCTTCATTTCTACTTGTGTCTGATGAAGGGAGCTCTGACTCTTGAAAGCTTATACTCTGAAGCTCTTGTTGGTCTCTAAGGTGCCCGAATCTAACTGTTTTATTGCAGACCAACAGGGCAACCCTCTGTACCGATCTGGGGAAAACCGCTGCTTTGGAAGGTGGACTCTATGGCATTATAGACCTCTGAGGTCCATCCGCAAGCCCTGTCCCCAAACCTCCAGGGATTCCCCAAGCCAGCGCTGGCAACCCAAATCACAGGGATGAAATCCCAAACACAAACGGGGGACGATCCATGGGAGGGGGCCTAGGAAAGCTGGAGAGCCTCGGTCCCAAAGCTCCGCTCTGCTCGGAAACCCTCAAGAGCCCCGTTGCCTCGTCGGCTGTACTGAGAGGGGAGCAAGACTGGCCAACCCGACAGGGATGTTGTAAGGATGCGGGAGCTAATCTCACGAAGGAGCACTCGCCGGATCAGGCAGATCCGTTCCGCTGACGGTGACGTTTCCCTCTGGCGCAAGGACAGGGGACTTCTGCTCCGTGCTTCTGGTGCCAGAAGGAAAGGCCGCTGTTAGCAGAATCGATTCACAGGGTCCCGTCCAAAGCGTGGCACATAAATAACAAGATTATTATGGGACATACTTGGGATTGTCGCAGAAGCCCAGGTTTCTGTTCCATAAGACTTCGGCTCACGTTGGTTCAGTTTTCTAGGCCACGATGCTGCGGTTCTTGCACCAGGTCCAGGAGATTCTGTTTTGGCAAGGCGGATCCCGCAAAGCGGGAGGCCAGTCGGGCACATGGAGATGCCTTGTTAGCGAAAACCGAAAGCAGATGTGCGCGCCTGTTCCCGGAAGAGAAGGCAGACGAGGTGATGTTCCAATTAGGGCCGTGAGTCATGCAGGCCAGGCGAAGGAGATCTGGAAAAGACCCATCTTGCCACGGTGCCAGACTCTGGGCCTGATTTTCAGGCGGCCCTGCGGTCAGGCATCCGGGCCAAAGCCTGCCTTTCCTCCCTCCAAGTGTGAAATCCAATCTTTCAGTTTGGCCTTTGTTCTGCCAATATCGTCAGAAAACCAGGGTAAACCACCCCAGCATGGAAGGTGCTATGGTAAAGAGAGGATACTTTGTACTGGACCTGAGCAGCGCAGTCTCCAAGTTGCTAGATCCAATTATAATGCCGGTTCAATATACACTTTGCTGAACCTCAGCTGCTAGATCTAATTATAAAGCTGGTTATATATATATACTTTGGTGAACCTCAGCTGCTTGATGAACCACAGCTGCTAAACCAACCTCAGCGGCTAGATCTAATTATAATGCTGGCTCAATATACACTTAGCTGAACCTTAGCTGCTAGATGAACCTCAGCTGCTAGATCCAGTTATAATGCTGGTTTAACAAACACTTTGTTGAACCTCAGCTGCTAGACGAACCTCAGCTGCTAGATCTAATTATAATGCTGGCTTAATATACATTTTGCTGAACCTTAGCTGCTAGATGAACCTCAGCTGCCAGATCCAGTTATAATGCTGGTTTAACATACACTTTTTTGAACCTCAGCTGCTAGACGAACCTCAGCTGCTAGATTGAATTAAAATGCTGGTGTAATGTACACTTTGCTGAACCCCAGCTGCTAGATAAACCACAGCTGCTAGATGCAATTATAATTCTGGTTTAATACACACTTTGCTGAACCTCAGGTGCTAGACAAACCTCAGCTGCTAGATGCAATGATCATGCTGGTTTAATATACACTTTGCTGAACCTCAGCTGCTAGACAAACCTCAGGTGCTAGATGCAATGATCATGCTGGTTTAATATACACTTAGCTGAACCTCAGCTGCTAGGTCCAATTATAATGCTGGTTTAATATACACTTTGCTGAACCTCAGCTGCTAGACGGACAGCTCTGGTCTGGCACAGCTTGTACCTCACCAAGCTGAATGCATCCCATTGATTGTCTGTTAGCTGCCTATCCATGCCGTAAGAGACCTCCTGGGGGAAGAAGGAATGAAGCCACAGACAGAACCTTCAATTAAGCCAACTCCTCTGGAGAGAAGGGCAGGGGTATTTGTAGTTTGGGTTTACGATGCGTTATGATGCCAAAGCATGCTTCGAAATATCACTTGGGATTGAATCACAGAGTTGGAAGGAGCCATAGAGGCCATCTAGTCTAACTGCCAACTTAAAGCAGAATCCATCTAAAGGTAAAGGTTCCCTTGCTCGAAAGCCAGTCGAGTCCGACTCTAGGGTTGCGGTGCTCATCTCCGTTTCAAAGCCGAAGAGCCAGCGCTGTCTGAAGATGTTTCCGTGGTCATGTGGCCGGCATGACTAAACACCAAGGCGCACAAAACGCTGTTCCCTTCCCACCGAAGCGGTACTTATTTATCTAGTTGCAATTTCTTGCTTTCGAACTGCTAGGTTGGCAGGAGCTGGAACTAGAGACGGGAGCTCATTCCGTCATGCGGCACCCGGGTTTCGAACTGCTGAACTACCGCCTTCCACAGCCTGCAGTTCAGCGTCTTAACCACTTGAGCCACCGCAGCTCCAGACTCCATCTAAAGCATCCTTAAAAAGTGTTCATCCACTCACCGCGTGAACACTGCCAGGGAAGGGGGAACTCACCACCTCTCTAGGCAGCGATTCCATCACTGAGTAATTCTTACCTTTAAAAAGTTTTTCCTAATATCCAGCCGGGACCTTCCGGCCCTTAATTTAAGCCCATTCTTGCGAGTCCTCCCCTCTGCTGCCCACAGGAACAGCTCCCTGGCCTTCAAAGACTCCAGGAGAGCAATCGTATCCTGACTCAACCTCCTAAACCCCTCAGCCTCTCCTCACAGGACTTGGTCTCCAGGCCCCTGGGAAAGGAAATCCCCTTTGGTACCCAGAGACCACATAAATGCAGGGCACGGCAAATGTGGAAACT